TAGAGCTGCTAGAGAACTAGACGACAGGCGTACCAAAGGGGAAGACACCGTTGCACTGCACTAACGACACCGATGCTCGTCTAGACTGCCACATACCATGCGATGCTTGCTTTGCCTCGAGATCAGTGCTATTGCCCCGCGCTGCTCGGCCGGGACGGCGCGAACGCCGAATACTTCGCACAGCACATCTTCGCACCGATCCAAGCAACACGACATTCGCACCGTATGTGCCTCCTCGTCATCCCGCCGATGCGCCAACTATCTCCAAGGGCGGTGGAGCACCGGTGACGCCAACCGCCGAGCCTCTGTTGGACGTGTAAACGTGCGAGGAGCAGCTGCATATTACAGGGGCCAGTGCAGAGGAACGTGCAAGGTACGGCGGCGCACCGCTGAGTGTTGAGATGATGAAGCTGTAGCCTCTCCCCTCTGTCGTCTCTGCTTCCGAGGTTGTTTGAACGGCTCCGCGTAAACGCACTAGACGGAAGAGAGGGGCACTAAATGCAGCGAAAGGGGCTGGGACGAACGCAGAGAATTGAGCGATGGTCGAGAGTGTTTGTTCCAGACGCAGAAGATGTGCTTGAGCTCCGAGGACGAGGCGGAAGGGAACCGTCGAGCGATAAGTTCACGCGGTTTGTCGGGTTAGTGGATGTTACAGATTGCACCGCGCAGCTGGAGCAAAGGCGACGAGGGCCAGCGAGCAAGGTGAGACCAATATTTATTTGGGTACAAGCGCCCAACGTTTTCTGCCGCTTGGCTTCTGGGCTTCGCTCTACCTCCACCAGTACGTACTCTCCTTGTGGCGCGAACGACGGTTGTATGCACTCTCCCTGGCAAAAATGTACTAGCTCCGGCACCGGAAAGTAGATGGAGCGGTTTTTGGTCCCCGGTACCGTCACAGCGCCTCGAGCGGGTTGGATCTCGATCTCAACAAGAGGCTCTTCCAACGCTGCCAGCCATTCAGCAGGACTTTGATGCCGCCAATCCGAACACCTGAGAACAATCATTCACTCCGGTATGCGGTGATAGCGTCTCTGCATAATTGAGGGAGGATCCTCAGTCTGTCGAGAACCTCCCAAGAATAGTACGTTCGCTATGGCACGCCAGCGTGAGACTGGCAAGCGGACGAAACGACGATATCTCACATGAACTTGAGACATGACATAGGAGTGAGGGACATAAGTGAGAGCGTACTGATAGCAATGCTATGGGTGCAGAACTGCACGCCTTTCTGTTCGTGCGGAGCGTTACGCTGGACCTCGCTATCAGACGCTTCCGCTTTTCACCGTCACTTTGCACTGTCAGGGTGGTTTGCCCTTCCTAGTGTTGCCTCGTACTTGATTCTCTTCATCCGAGCTTCCAGCTCGGACCATGGTGGAGGCCCCGGCCATCGCTCTGGGGCTGAAGCAGAGTCAGTCTCCTAGTGAACATCTCGTCGAGAATCTTGTTCAACTCACCGGGCTCCCCCATATTAAGATTTATGCCGGTCTTCCTGGACAATTCTGATGGACTGAACATTAACTTCAGGTGCAGAGGCACATCGGGCGCCACCGTTTTTGAGGGGCCTGTGGAGCTGGCAGCTGTGTGTGAAGGTGTCGCTGGCGGTTCACAGGGCGGAGCTGGGCTCAGACAGGCGGGGGTCAAGGAACGGTTCGTGACAACCTGGGCCGAAACGTAGGCCAGCTCGGGCGCCATAGCAGGCCCAACTTCAGTGTTGGCGTCCGGGCAAATTCCTGCAGGTAGCGATGCGCCGTCATCGTGCGACGCCTCAGCATCTTCCGCATGGATGGCAGATATTGAGACGTACGCCGGCTCGGGTGTCACAGCAGGCCCAATTTCAGCGGTAGCGCCTGGGCGACGTCCTGCAGATAGCGATGTGCCGCCATCATGCGGCGTCTCAGCGTCCTTCGCATGGATGGCAGATGTTGGGGGAGACGATGACGAGGCGCAAGAGGCAGACGACTGTGCCGAAGCAGCCATAGGTAACACCGGTGAGATGGGACTTGTTACTGGGGAGATGGACTCGGAGGTGGGACTCGCTGCAGGGGAGATGGAGATGAGACTCGCCACTGGGGAGATGGGACTCGCCACAGGGGAGATGGAGACGGGACTCGCCACTGGGGAGATGGAGATGAGACTTGCCACTGGGGAGATGGGACTCGCCACAGGGGAAATGGAGACGGGATTCGCCACCGGGGAGATGGGACTTGTTACCGGAGAGATGGGACTCGCTACTGGGGAAATGAAGATGAGACTCGCTACCAGCGGTATGACTGGGATCTCTTGCAAGAGCATCATGAGGACGGGGGCTGCGTGTGGCATCTCGCCTCGAACGACGCTCTGAATTTTTGGTTCGAGAGCAGCCTTAGCGGACGGTGTCCAATAGTCCTGGACGAGCCGCGAAATCTGGAGGCGCAGGATTTTTGGGTATCTATTCAAGCGTGAGATTGAGCGGCGTCAACAAGCCCGGGCTAGTGCGAAGGCGTACCTCGCCGAAAATTGAGAGAAGAGCTCGTCGAGGGTATTATCCGCGTCCAGCTGCGAGAAAAGCTCTTCCTCTGCTCGCTGTTTGAGCTCGTTGAGGCCGATCTAGGGAGTTCAATCTCATTATATCGTGGTCGAACAACTTGTGGGCGACGCACCTCGTCCGCAAAACGATATATAGACTTGCATGAGCAGGTCGGCACCTTTGGGTGATCTATGACGTGCCTCGCTTTCGCCCCTTCACGGTTCATAGCGCCCCGTGAGCGCAAAGGTAGAAAGCAGACATTACCGGTGTAAATGTAGAAGATTGCAGCTTCCAACCTATAGGAGCTGAAGGGCTGCGTGGTAAAGACACTGATACTAGAATACTCACGTATCGGCTGCAACAGACTCCATGGGGACAACTCGAGCGTTCGCAGCGAGTTTGGTGGTTGTGGTTCCACTGTTGGAGTCGCCAGCTGAATTATCGGACTACCAGGCTGCATCACCTACGTCCGCTACAACAAGCGCAGGAGAGGCTCACCAGCTTCACTTCTGTTTCGTCATTCAGCAATATTTCATTCGTGGTGACCGACGAGTTGCTTAATGGCCGGATGTTCTCATCGTCCTCGAGGTCGCTGTCCGATTCGTTCTCGTAGCTATCTGCGGAACTAAAGGGTCCACTTGAAGAGAAGTAGGTGGCAAGCGTTCCGCAGGATGTCCCTGATAAAACTGCAAGTATATTAGAAGGCGTCGAGGTCGGCGCTCCTGGGCTACCTATGGCCGCGAAAGTACGTCGAAGATGACTTCAGGACGCGGCTGTTTGCTTGGATAGCCCGTGGCTTGTCGACTCTGCCAGATTTAAGTCGCCTCGTAAAGGCGCAGAAAATCGTGTCAGCAAATTGTTCGCCAAAAAGGGATTCAGTGGGTGCATCCTCGAGGCTGCCATCAGCGACAGAGTGCAGGGGCGAACTGTTCGCAGACATCGCTAAACTCAGAGTGGTCAGAACATAACTGCATGAGCCTCATGCGGGTTAAAACGAAATATGGCCTCGTTGCCCTGCCTCGCCTCCAGCTCATGTCGGCATAACCAGGTCAAGCCTGCAGCCGCGCTGCATGCGCCACGAAGTCATGCCAAACAGGAATAAATACGACTCACGTGATTCCAAGTTTTCCCAACCGTGTGACTCGGGACATCAAAGTGAATATGACGAAGTTACATATGTCGACGAGGGGCGGCAACGGGCATCATCCGATTCGATGACGCCAATCTGCGTTGTCTGATGTAAGTTAGTCTCCCCTTAACTTTGCATTGCCATGGTCAACCCCTCTGGAGAATTCAAAGCGGCGACTGGACGCGATTCACCACCATCCACCCTCTATTCGCTGCGAACGGCCAGCTCCGACACCGTGCGCTTTGAGGGCAATGAGAGCGACATCCAGTCACACTCTGAGTTGTCGCGCGAGGAGTTCCGGAAGATATGTCCTGCGGAAGTTGAGAATACCCTCTCGTGCATCCAGAGGAGGCCCTTGGCGACTGACATCGCCATCCTCAAGAGCATTCTTCGTCCCCTCATCGAGTTATCGAAGTAGGTGTAGGCGTTTTTCAAAAGTTTCCATGGATGCTAACCTCGTGCTCCTCTAGAATTGAGCGATATAGGTTGAGCGTTCACAAGCGAGCCGTCAGCCTTATACTTTTACATCTGGGTGTATACGCCGAAGTCCTTGTGCATGTCCTTGTTGCATTGCCACAAGAGGACGCCCAGCAATTTTTTGACGATTTAACTCCCGAAGAGAAAGCATCTTGGTAAGATATCTGGCTACAATCCGTGTTCGCTGCTGAAGAAGGTTACAGGACAGCTTCATGGCGTGATGGCTTTTGGAAGGCTCTGGTATTCGCTGTCTCGGGCCGGCATCTTTCACTCGACAGTCTGCATATGCTGGCTTTGCCCACAGTTTATGACCGCAGGACATTCACTCTCCTATTCAGCGCTGGCAATAACCACCCCATCTCCGAGTCACGCAACATTGATCTCCTGTTCACCTACATTGAAGCCACGTACAGCGACCGTCACCCGCAACTCTTCAGCGGGGTACTTCAACCCCAAGATTCGGATTTGACCTTGCATGCCATCGCGATCTACCTCGACAGATGCCCCGGTTCCGCATTTTCCGCATTCTTGGCCCGCCTCCTCGGGCGCATGAAACCAGACACGTACTACATACTCCCAGCACGCGATATCGGAGCTCTCCTCTCAGCCGCACCGTACCTCGAGTCTAGCCTCAGCACTCCTACTCTCCAATCACGCAGATGCTCTAATGAGCAGCACCCGGCGTCGCCCTTCCTGTACTGCGCACTACGTCTTGCGTCATGGAGCAGCCGCGTACGGATGAGTCTCGTGGAACACGGCCTCTTGGTAGCCGCCGAAGGCCTGTACGACGAGGACAAACCCGTTGTGCATACCGACCACGGCACACGCTCCGTGTCTGGCACTAGCCGACACATTATGATCCAGCTTTGCTACCTCCTCCTCGGCGTTGTCGCTCGCTGCTGCGATTTGAGCGGGAGTACCCTCGTTGAGGAGCTGAGAGCAGATATCATCGCGTTCTCGCGGATGATATCGCGACGCTACTTTGCACCCGAGCCTTGGGAGATTTGTGACGACTAGCGTACCGTGATGTGTAGTTTGCTGGGTCGGCTCGACCTTAGCTAGCGTTCGCTGCGGATAGCATCACCAATATTTTCGAGGATTGTTGTGAAAGACTTCGCGCAGGCGGGGGATTCACGAGTAATCAAGGATAAATTCCAAAAATAATACTACATGTTCTTATATAGGTTATCTACTTCCTAATCTGGTCAGACCAATAAAATGTACCTTAGGAAGCTGAGACTAAGAGGAAGCATAACTAGTCTCGTCCCCAGCCATTCTGGTACGCCCGGAAGGCTCCGGGCGGAACCT